TTGAGTGTCTTATCCCGGCCTTTCTTTTTGTCCACTTCCAAATCCTGAATCTTTTCTTTCTTTGCGCTCTATTATTTTTTTTCCTTTTTTTTTGGTTTATTCTCACTTGGGTTGTCTATAGCTATGATCGGATCCGATGGGGATTGCCTACGTATCACAACGCCGCATGAATCAGATCATTACGTAGTTTAGGGGATAAATGCGAAATAAAAGAAAGAAAATTTTTGGGTTTTCAATATTTCATTAAATAAAAACTTTTTTGGTTTTTTCTATTGCAAAGACTCCAACATACAGACTTAAGAAAAACAAAAACAGACTTGGAGAATACTAATATACTCGAAAACGTGAAATACAGACTCAAAAAGAAAATCAGGAATACATAAGAGCCTCCAAGACTACTCCAGGGGCCCGCAGGACATCAGTCGGTCTCGATGCGGGCCTGCGTGCAATATCTTCTTAGAGACGGTCTAGGTCGTTCTTCACTTGGCGGACAAAAGTCATCACAATAGAGAAGAATATGGACCTGGTCATATCCTCGCATTCATGGCACTTCATTACGACATAATCAACAATTTCTTTAATCTTTTCTCTAATGATGCCCTTCTCTTGGAGTAGGCGTCCAATTTGCTGAGACCTGGCCTCCAAAACCTGTGTGGCCATATGGTTTTGCTCTTGAAACTATTGCATGTCTTCTTCCAGTCGAGACATCAATGCATAGCAATGCTCTCTTTCTGCTTTGAAGTTCTTTGTTTGCTGGGCTATTTCATTTTCAAGAGTAGCCAGCTTCTTCTTTAAACCTATGACTCATCTGTCATACTTTTCCCTTAGCTACTGAGCAAACCTCGTCTGTTCTTCTACATTTTTTGCCAACTTTGCCCGGGCTTTTGCTAATTCATCCTTGACTTTTTCCAAGTTAGCCCCATAATCACACACTTTTCGTCTAAGACTGTTTATGAGTTTTTCATCTGTTTTGCTTCTTCCTGGGTTTTCAACGACTATTTTCATCCTTTGAATTTAGGCTCGAAGGGCTTCGTTTTCTTGGGCAACCTTTTCTTTTCACCTTCATCCGTAGCGGCCTGTACACCACTATCAAATTTAATGTTTCTGATTTGCCCCTCTAGTTTGCTTATGGTAGCCCTATAGTCATTCTGTTTGGTTAACCAAGCCCATTGTTCTTGCGATGCGTCAACAAATTCTTGGATGTGGGGCATTTTGGTTGGCCTTTCAGATTCATCATTTGTAGCGACTCTCTTTCCATACCAAGCAAGATAACCAGGTGAAACCTCGCCCCTGGATAAATCACGTACTTGGGTGTTCGCCCCCAAATATTGGCATTCGCTCCAAATTCGGCGAACCACTTCTTCAGTAAATTGAGCTTCGGAGCGGATTTCAACTACATGAATACTAAGATCTTTGTCTTTGGGAACTATCTGGCATCTTCCATGTTGTCTCAAAACCCGGTATGGGGCATAGGGTTGGATGCTTCGGAGACCCATTAGCAGGAAGTAGAGACCGGTGGCAGGCATGTACACAATCTCACCAACGGGAAGCCAACCTAGTATCCTCTCTATCTGATCCGCAGTTATGGAATGAAGGTGGGATATCCAATCTTTGACCCTTCTGGTATTTCAAATCCGGTCATTCGTGTACCAAACTCCTCGATGCAGCTTTTTCCCGTAGACCCGTAGTTTATGTATCGGGGATGGTGACAGAGGTGTTCAATCATCCACATTTGCAATAACAGATTGCACCCTCAAAAAACTCTTCTCCGACTTTACAAGATGTGAGAGCTCAGAAAATATCTGATACGATCATGGGTGCGAGGGCACTCTTGTCATTGGTAGTCAAAACCTGAACAACACTAGCTACACACAAATCAATGTTCCTGTCCTTCCTTGGAAACACTAAGAGGCCTAAAAATGCCACCATGAAGGCAAATCATCTATGTATTTCCCACTTTGATCGGTTTCTGTTACTTCAGAGTCCATTCTCTGGGTCCTCCAATCCTCTTAAATGCCCATACCGCTGGTATAAAAAGTGTAAAGTGGAAAATCCACCTGCCAAATTTTCACTCTGGATCTGCCTGCTTATTTTCAGTAAATCTAAAAACTTGTGAGGAGTAACGGCCCTTGGAGCTATCAAGTATTTGTGTCTTAAACCCTCTGTACTCCCAGCACCCACCATTTCCTCCAAGGTAGGTGTAAGTTCAAAATCTGAGAAATGCAGAACATTGTGTGCAAAATCCCGGAATGTTACCAATGCATCTATTACATCACTCCTAGGCTTAATCTTCAATAATCCAGTGAGTGCCCCCAGGTATTGGTTGACCTTGTCTCGCCCCTGTTTTCCTAAATCCTCCTACCACATGTGGAGTGCCAATGGAATCTGAGTCATAACCTTCACCGGTAAATTCTGAACCGTGCTCATTCTGCAAATTTAGGTTATGGTGATTGGGATAAAACATGTGAGTTTTGTTTTAAAACTGATCAAAAGGTTATTTGTGCAAAATTCAAATTAAAACAAATCATGACTACTCTTGCAAACACGGCCCTTCAGCACTTCAAAAGGGAAGATTTTAGGGTTGTGCTTGCTAGATGGCCAAAAATTGACAAAGAGACCGTTGGTGGCTATTCTTGCAAAAACGGCCTTCCGGCGTCCTATCGGGACATTTCTGGATATTTATGCAAAAATGGCATCACCTATCTTTATTTATGACAAAAATGGCAAAATTTTGGTTATTTTTTGCAAAAAGAAAGGGCTAGACCCGACGAGGGTTGCCTATGTATCCCACATCCGGTGAGAATAAAACCTGCATAGTTCAGTCAATTTGTCGTAACAGGAAAGCATGACTTGTTTTTAAATGACTTTTCTCCTTTTTTTTTCTTTCTCCTTTTTTTTTCAAAATTTTGGCGGAGTTTCGGGATATTTTGAACACCGTGTTTTTTCAAAAAACGGGTAATTTTCTCTCTTACCTCAATTTGGTTTTTCTTGACATTTTCTCCCTATTCTAGAAGCCAGTCAACATGCAAACCGTAGCAAATAAATATACAAGTAGCACGTAAGAATGCATCAGGATGGTCTTTTTAATTTGGGTACACCTGTCCTAGACGAACCCAACCCCTATGTTGAGTCCCTAAAGTCAAATGCACGTGATGCAAATAAGCGTTCCTACTAAGGATACGGTATGGGGCTATGTTATTCTAGGTTTAAAACCTGGGTGTATTGTTCTAGACCTGGATTACTCGAGCGGACAACTTGAGCCCCCGGGG